TCAGCCTCCCAGAATGCTAGGATTATAGGCACATAACCACCACAGCCAGCTTCAGTTCATATTTCTCGGAGCTCTGCTATATGCCAAGCCACTTTGTCCCTGTGAACTCATTCATCCCTCCCAGCAGCCCTGGAAGAAAATCCACAGCGCTTTTTTACAGATGAAGAAAGTGGAACTCAGAGACGTGATTCCGTTACACAACTGGTCCACGGCACAGGCGGATCCGGAGAGTGAAGCGTGTCTCGCCCGCAGCCCGGGCTACTGGCTCCCTTGGGAGCACATCCGGCGCTCTGATGCCTGGACACTGCTGTTTGAGCTGGGCCCCTCCCTGAGCGCCCTTTCTACCTGGCAAGCCTCACCTCAGCCTTCCGGACCTACCTCACTAAAGCACAGAACAGAGCCTGGAACTCTAGGGGCATCCAGGACAGACTTGGTGGGTGGACTGACGGACGGAGGTGTGGTGGGTGGGTCCAGCAGACCTACATTCTGCTGTGTGGCCACCTATGCGACATCAGGTGCCTGGCCTGTGAAAAGGGAGCATAACAGTAACGGCTGCTGGGATTGGACAGTGCCGGCCACACAGTGCATCACTAAAACTCAGCTAGCGCTTCCTCTACAATCGAATGTCATTTCTTCCTCTTTTTGTTGTTTTGTTTTGTTTTGTTTTGTTTTTGAGACAGGGTCTCACTGTGTAGTTCAGGCTGGCCGGCCTTGAACTCACTCCCTTTGCAGCCCAGGTTGGCCAGGAATTGGAGGCAATGCTCCTGCCTCGGCCTCCCAAACGCCCGGTGGGCTTACGGGCAAGGGCGCCCGCACCAGGCTTCCACAGTCACTTTTGTAAAAAGCCGCCTAGGGTACCTCAGACCAAACAAAGTCTCATCCTGTAATAAAGTCCACTGTGACAGTGTATTACAGTTACCTGTGCTTCCGAACGGGAGACCCCTGAGGGACAGAGCCCACGGTTACTCCATCCTGTTGGCCCCAGTGTGCTGGCACACAGTGGGTGTACTTTGGCCCCATCTTTAAAAAAACGAAACAAAACAGCTGCAGCCCCCCAAAGAGGGTGGACAATCCGCTGTTCAGGTGAGGTTTGTGGGGTGATCTGGCTGAGCACGGCCCCCACAATGAGGCGCTGTGAGGTGAGCCTGGGGTCTTGCATGTGGGCTCCGGATTGCGGCTGCTTCCCCTCCTCCAGCGCTGGCGGGGAGGCTGCGCCGCTTCCTCTGGGCTCGCGCGGGCTTCCTGGGACCCTTTGAAGTGGGTTCTCGCCTAATCCTGCCCGCGGGGCTGGGGGCGGGG